CTGACCAGTGGCTAAGCAGGCGGGAAACCCCTGAAGGGAAATTAATCAGACTGCCGCACAAACAAATGAGATATTTACCATCAAATAAATCTGCATGGTCAGCCCAAGGAAGCCAATTACAAGGGAAACTCATTAAGCGAAGTGAAAGTGGTAAGAAGTGGCCAAGAGTTGAAGTAAGAAATATGCCAACTTACGTGTCCTAAGTAAGACATAGATTGTCCATTGGCCATAAATCTCTTGCCCCCAAAAGGGTTGGCAGTGGTTTAAGGCAACGACGACAAGTACAACGCCCACGCTTAAGACGCAGATAATTATGCAGACAAGCGGCCCGATATTGCCAGCGTCAAGGCAAGGGTTTAGGCAGCGAACAGCGACCAACACGACCCCCCACCCCCTCCCAGGACGTCGTTCAGTTGGTTTGTAAATTAAAAATACCACGCCCCGCTGTTATAAATCAAAGTCACGAGCTTTGTGTTGGATTTGCCAAAGGAATTTGTTGCATTGAATAGAAGAAAGTCAAAAAAAGAAGCGAAGTACAAAAGCGTACGCCCCAACTGCCACTTCCTGTTGCTTCACATGTTGATATTTGTTAGACCCCCCACCCCCTCCCCACCCCCATACCCTACACCCTCCCAGGACTAACATTTGAATAAAGTTGGAATAAGTGGCGCTGACATGTTAAGACTTTGTTTAGATTTATGGCCAGACCCTGCATATAGTCGTGTTACAGAAGGACCTCCTAAGAGAGCCAATTTAAAAATTGAATTTCAAAGCCCAGGCTCGTTAGTCCTTGCTAATCATATCAGTATTTGCGAGTGCTCGACACATGTGTGTCATTTTTATACCCTCCAACCAAAAAGCGAAAGGACATGCCTAGATTTCCGTTGGCTATGTAACACACACAGAAAAGGACGAGGCATTTCGCTGCAGACCTCAAACTTTATCTGTATATGATAGAACAGGTCTATAGGCTAGCCTGCTTAAGGAATGCAACAATAAATAGGTAGGTATAGCTTTATTATTTTATGTAATTGTCTTGGAAACGATTGGTAGAAATATGTCTAAAAAGAAAAGCGTTGTTTTTTGTTACAATATAACAAACAATTGTTATATTTATCGGCTTTAGTAATACCTCGCTATAATCTATTGTTTATTATACTATATAGCAAGAAAAGATATTCGCTAGTTTTTTTCTGCCTTTGGAAAATAAAGTATAATGCAAGGAGTTTTCTGACTTTTTGAATTTTATTCAAATATAATGACCTTCCGAGACTTTCAGTAATTGGCTAGTAGGCCTGCATATTCTTCAGAATGGTGGTACCAGTTTCTTCAACATCTTTGTAGCGCTTTCCATTCATGGCCAGAAGTAGTTTTCCGATTAGATAATAGAGCATTAACCATTTGACGAGGTGGAACAAATTCTTGTTGAATATTTACATTCGAATCGTATAAACAAATAAACATTGTGTTCAATTTTGACTTTTTTAAACAATTTTGTTTTCGGTTTTTGTTCATCTGGGTGCTTCCAATTATGTTAAAGAAGTTTTGATGCTTTTTTGTCTACTTAATGGGGCATTTGGAATGTTGAGCTCTTGACAACTTCTCCAACAAACACACTGCGTGTGTAATGTGATTGTCACGAAACAAATCGTCAATGTCGATTCAAGATGTAACCCAATAATATGTGACGTCACCAGCAATGAATATTTATAGACTGTCCTGTTTATTTTGGAAGGCAACTAGTAATAACTACATATTTTGATCGCAACCAAGTCTAGCATTTATGTTAATTTTCTGCCTTTTTTTAGAGAGTAAAATACGAGTTTTGCTATTTTTCCTATAAAATTACATTTATTGTACGATTTTCGTGATAGTTTTGTAATGTTTTTAGGGCATTCACGCGTCCTATCGTTCCGATTAGTTTCCTCTGTTGTGTACAATTTTGACACATGCCGAAAATCCACAATCGAAAATCTGCTGGACGAAATCTGATGCGATTATGGGTTGTTGTTGTTGTCGATGGCGTTTTTCATTCCTGCCTCAAAACCCATCGCAGCATCATGTGCCATTTCCTATTTGCCACTTGTCCGACCAAAGCAGTTTGATTAAATTGGGTAAAATGATGCGCCCGCTCATAACTGTCGCACATGTGTTGACAAACAACAACAAAAAACACCCAAAAAAATGCCGCACAATTTTTCAATAAACTCATCAAGAAAACAAAAAAAAAAAATAGTGAATGAGGAGCGGGTCAGGAGGCAAGGACAGACGCCACTTTGAACCCTCAGCAGTGTCCTGCGACAGTGCCCTGCGGCTAGGCGTAAAACACAATTTGATTTATGGACAATGTTCAAATTGAAAATTGTCGCATGGTCACTTTAATTTTTGAGTTATGCGACTTTAAACTACACACTCGCAGGAGAGCATGAAAATGAGGGATGACACGCACGCCACAGGAAGTGAATTATGTCATGTTTCTGTGAGGTTATGTAATGATGACAGAAAAATCGACGGTACAGTTGCCGACGGCATCGCTAACTCGCTGCCGTAGTCTCAGAGAGACTGTACCTTTTGACCAGCGAGTGCGTGTGAAAAAGGACAGCAGCACGCGTCGCTTGTTAGTCGCTCCCGAATCGTGTAAAAGTTAAACAGCAATTGAAAAATCAACCCTCGTGTGCTGTTGGTTGTCTTGGTATTAAAGGCAGTTGTCGTGGGGGAGGGGAGGGGTGGGGTGGAGCTGGTGCTGTTTCCGTGCATTGTTCGTTGTTTGGTGTTGAAGTGCCTCAATGGTTTTAGTGTCAGCTTATAGTTTTGACATTTCTCTGGCCAACTGGTGGCGCAACTCACTACCCACTGCCTCTTCACTCATTGCTGATTAGAGATGGTTATCGGTTCGGCTTGCGAGTGCCTTCTTTGGCGGATTTGTGTCGCATAAACGCATAGTTGTAATGAGTTTCTCCAGAGCTGCTGTGGCTGTTGCTCCAAAGTGTTAACATGTTGTTTCCACGCAAATGATTTCCTCGAGGATCAACCCGCTCATTTACATAAATTACTTTATTTCGTTGCACAGTGCTTTTAGTTTTCTTTTACTTAAATAGATTTTTTTTAATAGAGTAGCAATATTATTGCTCTTTTTGTTTTTAATTGGAATTGGTTCCAGATAATTGTTTCATTTTATATGATTTTAAAAATGCTGGACAATATTTTTATAAAGTGTTGTAGTTTTTGTAATCGTTTTTCTTAAAAATATCAACAATTATAAAATACTAAGAGCTTTTACATTACTATCTGGGATTAATTGAATTTTAAATTTCTGAAATCTTCGGCTAGAAAGTCAATTAACTAATACTTCAAAGGGAGCTCCATAAAATATGCACACGTTTTTAAAGTAGAAATCTGTTTCTTTGTGTTAAATTCTTACTGCTATTGATTGAAGTAACATAACGATTCTTGCAGACTGTGGAAATAATGTGCTTGGCTGACCTTCAAGCCTTTTTGAAAAAGAAAATTATATTTAATTATAAATTATATTTATACTAAGATTATATTTATGAAATAATTATAAGATCTGCAAATTTATTTTATTTTATCAATTTATTATTCATTTATCATTTTTAAAAATAATTTCCTGAGTCTGATGATATTTTTGACTTTGTACAAAAGTTTTTGTTGTAAAAAGTGATATTGTTATTATTATTTTTTGATAAACTTATGCTTCTTTAATTTCATCGTTAATTATTAACTTAATTTGATAGCCAAATCGCTCTGTATTTCACTTCTATATTTGAGAAAAATTACATGGCACTTCTTGTACATTATTTCAATTAACAAATAGTTGAGTTCGCTCATGAAACTATCACACTGTTATAACTCAAGGGTACTTTCACGCCCAAACACCAAATGAATTTTTAATTAACCCTCGCTGCGACCACAGCCTCACTCAACTGACCATAACAGCTTGTCCAGCAACTTCAAAAACAAAAACGCAAAAAAGGGGTATGTCTGCAACTTTCCATAAACTTTGACTAATTTTTGGCAATCATTGGCAATATGTTTTCTATGCGAAGAAGAACTGAATTGAATTTTAATTAAAAAACTGAAATGTGTGGCAGCTGCCCCCGCATGGTCTGTTGCCCACTTTCATGCATGCCTGCACCTGCCAACCAGCCTCCACTTTCATGGCCAACAGCACCATCGCCACCATCATCATCTGATTGTGAGTTGGTTGCGTGGTTGGGGCTTTTATTTTTCATGGCTTTTCAATTTTAATTGAAATTTATGCGTAACTCTTTGGCTTGAAAAGGGGTTTCATTTGCCACGCCTGGTGTTTGGTCACGTGTTCTTCTTGCAGTTATTGTTCTTGTTGTTGTTGTCGTTGTCAAGTATTGCAAATTGCGAAAAAATTTTGGAAAATTTACATTCAGCCAGCCGTTGGCTTTTGTGATTTACAGCCCGCATTTTGGTTATTTATGAGCCGAGAACCCTTGAAAACTTATTCCGGTCTAGTCCAATCCAACGGCCTCTTTCCTAAAAACTGGATGCATTTTATTTGGTTGTTGTTGTAGCGATTTTATTGTAATTTTGTGTGCTCATGTGTAAAATTTGAAATTGTTGTAAATAATTACCCTAATGGCTAATGGCTGACAGTGCCACCAAATGGGCTACAAACGCATCCTAGCCGGGATCGTCACTTAATTTCTGTTCGCCGGCGACGTCGCCATTTGTAATTAAGCTTAAACCGTTAATATTTCAGCAAGATAAGAGCACCCATTGCCGATGCCCATGTTGCAGCCCTTGGCCATAAATTGTTGTGCCCCAAAAGTTGGTCCTTTGCCAGGCATTTGTTGCTGTTCGTTTCGGTGTTGAAGTACATTTTATGCTTCGTCACAAGTTCCGCCTAGGGTGTTAATTTTTAGCCAAATACGAGTTTGGGGCTCGTATATATTTCCTTTTCTGCCTTCCGCCAACGAAAGTAAAAACAGCAAAGCATTTTTGTGTTGTTTGTTTTGTTTGTAATTGCAGGAATTTAATTAGCATAAACAAGATTTAAAAAGTTAAGTGGCGAGTTCTCTTACTGCAGTCTTATATTCTATAGAAAACACTTAATATTAGATCTTAATTTATAAGTATTTGTAGGCCGTTATTATGGAATCTATCCTTTGCGTTTACCTGCAAATATAAAGAGAAATTTATATATTTACTAGTATATAAACAGATTTATTGGGCAACAACTTACTAGTATGTACAGTTATTCGAATGGTAATTTTGGGTTTTGGTCTAGGCTTGGGCTTCGATCTGCCCTTAGGAGCTGCCGAAACACTCAAGAAACAGCAGAGTAACACAACAAGCAACAAAAAATGAACCCTAAAGTATTTCATTTTTATAATAATTGACACCTATGCGTTCAGCGTCTTTTTTAAAACTGAAGCTCGGATGAATTCAGAAAACATAATAAATAAGTCAGCAATAACACTGTGCTACAAAATTGAAAGATATTGACTCTTCTGCAATTTGTCTTGCAATTTTGTTTTGTATTTAATAAAATATCAATATTTTTTGTATTAAAAAACTTGGTTTGATTTTTTCTGAACAGAAAAGATTCCCAAATTAAATTGGTTGGAGTTTCTTTCTTATTTTGAAATACTTCAATTCTGTTTTTACACGGTAGTTTGGTTCCTAAAAAAGTCGTGTAAAAAAACGGTGTAAGAAACATTGATCATATGCAAAATTAATCGTTCTAAATGGAATAAAGTCGTGTAACCATATATAAAATTTTTAATTTTCAAACCGTTTTAAATCTAAACCCTGTTAAAAATACCGTGTAAAAACCGAATTTGGTGTATTTAAATTGATCAACTAATATTACTAAATGTTACAAGTATATAGATATTTTGAATAATAAGTAACGTTTGGAAAAGGGAAGTTGGCATTAGAGAGACTAATTTAATTCAGTGTAAAAATTATAGGGGACAGATAATGGAACCTTTGTTTAAGCAACCAGAGTAGACCTTTTCCCAAGAAAATTAAATTTTATTTTAGAAAATATCAATACTATTATTAAATAATAATAAAAACAGACTCCCTGATGAATGTCTTCATCATGCTGAAAGGCTAAAGAGATAACTTTTAATAAAGTATTGGTTTCAATTTTCAACGAGGAATTGACGGCTTTAATTACTCGCAACCACAACACATTCAAATAACTGTTACCAGAAATTATATAATATATAAATTTTATTTATATTTATTTTATTTATTTACGACAAACACAAGCTGTCGAAATATGGTTAATTAGCTTAATTAGGAAAAATCGATTTATTTATTTACATTAGTTGCTATACATATATTATAATAAAAAAAACTAATTACAAACTAGGAGTGCTAGCTTCCTTGGCCATCGACTATTACTAATGACTAATAAACGCCTCCGACTCGATAGGGGAATTTTATTTGTCAATCGGCCAACTATGCCCCGATTCACGGCCAATTATAATCAAAAGCGTTCACGGACCTGTGAGCAAACATTTAAAATATACAATTTATATAAGATGTGCGTATGTGTGTGTGCATTACTTGAGATTAGTTTTGATTTAAGTTGTTAAAGTATTCATTGAGACAATTATGACGTGTGGAACAAAACTATAAAATGCAAAATTATGCCAAATATTGCACACTGATTGCCCAAAAATTAAGTATATATCGATCTGTGGTCACAATTTTTTACGAATCCACAAAAATATAATAGGGAGAAATGGAAGCTCGGAAACAATACGTCGATGATTCCAAAATTTTTTAAACGCTTTTATTTAACATCCTATATCGTTGAAGATTACAATTTCTAAAGGGAACAAGTTCAATCTGAACGGGATTTTCGAATTAAAATTTGTTTTGGTGGCTCGGTAATGGCAAAGACCTGTCTTGCCTTTTGGTAAAAATATGTATTCAACAAAAAAAAGGTGTCTTATAAATATGATTGGCAAAAATAAAATAATAAATTTAAGTTGCTTATAAATCGTATTCCCATCTTAACTTTGAGCGCATTTCTAACGCACTTTTTCCAACATTTCAACTGTCTAGCTCAGGAATATTGGCAGGCACGTTGCACAGTGTAGCTTAAGCTCGACTTCGAGTTCTTATCAATTAACATGAATTAATAGAAAAAAGTACCCAATTTTGTGTATATACTTGTATTGCTGCTTGCTAGGAAATGCCCAGCGATAAGAGCCAGCGCTGTCAGTCTTTGTCCATTAACCCATTGTTGGCCTACATTGTGTGAGCTACTCTAAATACAAAAATAAACATGCATAAATTGCATTACAAGCAGCCCAAAACAACACATAAAATAGAATCGACAGCCCCTTAATGCATTCAGTGCATGCGTTTGGCCCTGGCGCGTTAAATAACCATAACTATTCATTATCGACACATAAATGGGCAAGAAGCGTGCAACCCCTACTGGAATAGAAAACACTCATAACTTCAAATTTTTATTATTAAATAAACGGGCGAGCAAAACGAGCGCCGAAAAAAATGTCAAAGGCGGCAGAGAATCATGAGAAGCGAGGGACAGGGACATATGTACTCGTATGAGCATCCTTTTGACCCACAAAATTGAAATTGAAAAAATGAAATGTTCGCATGTGGCGTAGTGTTCGGAGTGTGTCTGTGTGTGTGTGTATGTAGAAGGGTTGTGTGTCCTACATCCTGCGTAATTCAATATTTAACTATATGAGATTTATGGCCACAGGGTGTTGCGACTTCCGCGTTCTGAACGACGTTGGCGAGGAGGACGACGTCGTCGTTTTATTTGTATAAAGTATAATTTTTGATTTAGTGCGATTTTATGTCAACGGGTTTGCCAAGTCGGGTGGGGTTCGTAAAGGGTTAACGCAATAGTTTTGCAATATCCTCCAAAGTGAAAGTTAGTTGCTGTTTCTCCTTGTTGTTTACATTGTACGCTGCTGCGGATATGAGACCACATGCTGATTGTTATTGTGCCGGAATATTGAATACTCTGGAGGGTGGGGGATGGCTTAAGGACGCTCTGCCGAAACAACAGCGATTATTGTCAATAGCTTTGAGTGGCACTTTGATGATATTTATTTGATATTGCGATTTAGCAGTGAACTACAAAATAGTGCTTCACAGGATGGGAAATGGCTCTGGATCCATATACTGCTGATAACAGAAGATGTGAATAGTTTGGAACCAGCTAGCTAATACACATATATGAAGAATACAACAAAGAAGCTAGTCTTGGTACAAATTTATTTTAAGTTAGACTGTTTCTTATATTAAATTTTTATATAATTTTGTTAAAACAATTTAGTTTAGACCTTTCCGAATATAAATGTTGGCCATATTGTTCGCTTATCTATCATCAATTCAAAATATAATGCAATTTACAACTAACAAGTACTCGTTGAAATAATCCAAGTGATATAAAAAAGTAATAGAATTTCTATACAGAACTTTCTTATTGCATCGTTTATATTTCTTAGCAATGCTTCAATTTGCGCTTGATATATATGCTGGAATGAGATTATTTACGTATTTTTAATATTTTAAAACATGCTCGCTTAAAAAATAGTATAAATACAACTCAGCTTAAAGAAGCTATATCTAATTCTATATTCATGTTAAAATTGCAATTTTGTCGACAACAAGAATAAAAGAGTTAAAAATCTATCGCACGGAAACGGAAGTTGTGAGCGGAATACGCATAAAACTTTATTTTTATTATGATGCAAAATAGCAGCAAACGCTCAGACCCCAAACATAGCTAACTTGTCAAAGAAAAAAGAACGTGGTTGGCAACAAATTGCTTTGTTTGTTGGCGTATCTTTCAATACCAGCGGGAATTATCTGGCAGCATAACATTTGAGAGGCGTCTAGGCAGGAATCAAGGAAATTCACGCGTCGATGGGGTGCTACAAAGGTTTGCAAAAAACCAATTTAAAGTGCGCAAAAATTTGCATAAGTGGCACAAAAAGGTAATCAAAACATACAATATGCGCGAAAAGGGTTGCGCACGAGCGGAAGCGCCAGGCATGAAAATTTATTACAGGTTGCATTAAATCTAATTTGAGGCATGAATGAAAAGCGTCATGTATGTACATATGTACTACCTACCCGTGGTAATCAGCGCCGCTTCATCTCCTCGATTTGCTTCAGCAGCAACTGCATCCGATCCTTCATCAGCGGCTGGCCACGTTGGGTGCGTTTGCTGATGATTTTGGTTTTCTCCAGGCGCTGCTTTTTGTACTGCTTGATGCGCGCCTCCTTCTCCGCTTTCACACGCTCACGTTCAGCCTGTGCGGCGGCAGCTTTTTGTTGGCGTATCATTTTCCGTATTTCAGGCTTGTTGGGCTTATCCTAAATATACATATGTACATATTTTTTGTTTCAGCACAGATTGCAGTGGCTATGTGTATAAGGGAACTTACCGCCTTTTTTTGTTTATTGTCGCCATGCTTGCGCTTGAAGTTGGGCTTTTGTTTTTGTGATTTAAAATTGTTTTTTGCAGAGCTACCTGCACTTCTCTGTGCATTTGGTTTTGGTTTCATGATTTACTTAGTATGTGCGAGCAACAAAAATAAACAAACTAAAGCCCACACGTGCAACGCCTAACAGCTGTTATTCTATCGATAGACGATATCTGCGCATGTCACACAGACAAAAGGTAGTTGCTGCGGCACGCAATCCATAACTAACTCACATAAGACGGCCGCTGAAAAATAAAAACATGTTAAAATTAACAAAATCGCTTGGACAGAGTTGTAAGTTATGTTGCCCGTCAATAAAAATGTACCTAATTTAACTATTTCTATCAGTCACTATTACCAACTTGGCCGGCCTCCGTGCTCTTAACCGCTCCTATGCCGCCACCAACGTGAAAGAAGGGGCTCAGCTGAATCCCGATGAGCCAATTGACATGCCTAATCCTTTTGAGAAGGATCCAGAACAGTGCATACTCTGCAAGCACGACATTACGCCCTACTACAAGAACGTGAAGCTATTGTCACAATTTCAATCACCCTATACGGGCCGCATTTACGGCCGTCACATTACCGGATTATGCAAGCAGAAGCAGGAGGATGTAGAACAGGCCATAAAGAGGGCTCAGCGTTGCCTGCTTATGCCCGGCTATCACAAGGACTTGGAGTTTTTGCATGACCCGAAGCTCTTCGATCCCGAAAGGCCCTCGCGCCCGCATAAATATTAGTTGAAATTGTTAAAATAAATTCATTTGTATTTTTGTTATAATACATTTAACAGTACATTACTATTGTTTATGTACAATATATAGTTATAGTTAAATTAACAGTCTTCGTCCAGATGCTGCAGCATTTCTAGTGGTATGCCCAGCTGGCCAAGTACGTCCTGCTTGGTAGGTCGGGGCTCTTTAAGCGCTTGCAAGTCGGAAATGGTTGCGTTAAAACCTCTACGCCAGACTTTGATGTCGTTCTCGAGTTCTAAGATTTTGCGCTGTCTTGATTGGTATAATGTGAGCGTAGCCGCATCTGCGTCAGCTAGAGCCTTTGGCAACGCAAGTGGCTCGGTTTTGCGTTTCTTTTTCGGAGCCTCATTTTCTACCAGCTCGGAATTTTGTTCTAAGAACTCCAGTCGCTTTTTTCTCAGTTCCTTTCGAGGACGGGACAAGCCAAGTCGGTGGCTGCTGGAGGTGGTACTTGCTTTCAACGTTACTGGCAAGGCGCGTGGCGTGTCTTCTGCATCCTCGTGATCGTAATTGCATCTGATCGCTTTGCTGGGCTTGTTAAGTGGCGTACCTTCATTACAGCGCGTTTTGTCCTCAATCCGCAAGCCTGGTGTGGACATGGCCCCACGCTTGGGCATGCTCAGCCCAAAGCGACGCTTTGGCTGAGGTGTGGCGTGCTCTTTATCCATTCGATTTCACCGTATACTTCATGTATAATCATTTACTGTACATTCTACGTAGTACGTACAGAACAAATAAATGTGAACAACAGTTTGTCATTTTACCCATTCAGATGGCGTTGCCAGATACAAAATTGTTGCCATTGCGTCGTTTAAAATCATATTTCTGATATTTTAAATGATCCCTATCCCCTCGCTCGGCCCATTCACAAAAGCACGTTCATTATTTGTCTTGACCTTTATTAATTCTATATCGTACGTATGAATATATAAACTTTGCGCTTGGATACTCATAACCCTTCTTTGGAGGAGGGAATTGTATAAAGTGTTGCTACAAAAACTATGCGTGCTTTCTCTATGACTAAGTTTTATCGCATGATTCGTTTTCGGTTTGCTGGTCCAAGATAATACACCGACCAATCCGACTTAGTTTTTGACCTGATACTGTTAATTGCGAATGCGCCGCCGCAACACACAAATACATAAGTTTAGTATTGCATTGTTTTGGGCTTTGCATGAAACTCTGCTCAATGATATGATTTAAAACTAATCTTTACGTCTAGGATAACGCTCATAAACCTACAAACTGAATAATCAAAACATACATGATTGCAAATTGTAGAAAGACACAAAGTAAATGGTGATGGGGGGAGGTCAGTGGAAATTGAGCTGGGCAAGTCTTGTTTTGCTTTACTAAAAATCATTTTTAAATATCTGGTAAACAGAAGTGCTACTTGTATATAGTTTACAAACAAACAATAAAATCTTTCCTCTTTTTAATATTAGTATAGATAATCTACAAAAATAGTTTCCTTTTTTGATGAGCAATTTATAGATTTGCAAAAAATTTAATGATTTGCCCAACTCTACTCAAAATCGCTCCGCCAGAGTTTGACGATTGGCAACAAAAATGTTTTTTTTTTTCCTTATCAACTAGAACTAAATGTGAAGCACTAGAATAAGAGACTATGTGGTATCTGCCAGGCTAGGCGACTACTGCAACTTGTGGTAGCGCTCAACGTCCACGCTACGAAAGCTCAACTTGCAGACGCACTGCTGTGTGGTCGAGAGCACGACGAGGCACTCCCGGCATACCAAATGCTTGCAGGTGCGTATTTCATAAGCGAACTGGCTGCTCCGACAATTGATGCAAGAGGGTGGTGGCGCGGGCGCCTCCAGTTGGGTGAAGCGCGTGATCCGCTGCAGCGCCTGCTGTATGGCCTGCTCACTGGAAGACGTTGTGGTCGGTGTGACAGCTGCCGATGCCGAGGTAGACGATGTTTCTGATTGTTGATCGATGCTGCTGGCGGTGACCGTGGCGCTGGCAGCATAGGCGGAGTGACTGTTCCGGGCACGCTTTGGTGCCGGCGGCGAGGCGGGCGCAGACAAAGCGGAGGACAGTGTGGCCGTGGCAGTAACTGTTGATTTGGTTTTGCGTTTGTAGGCATTGCTCAATGAGGAATAGGTGCCTGCAGCGATGCCACCCTGTCCGGGCTGGCACATGTGGCTGGCAAACTGGGAGGCATGACGACGACGCATTCGGGAGCTGCCCAGTGAACGTGGCACCGATTTAAAATGCTCATCGTTCTCCATAAGGAACTTTTCAATGCGGGCTTTGAGTGCGAGGTGCAATATTGCTTTGCGCTGTGAGGTATATTCGAGTCCTGTAAATGGATCCGATGGTAAGCGACCCCATTTGGCCTCCTCCTCCGAATGCTTGTCAATGGTGGATTGATCGACCACCTTGCCCGATGGCAATACTGTGGGAAAGATCTAAGCAAGAGAGTGCAAAAATAATAATAAATAAAAATCAAGGTAAAATGAATGACGCACCATTAGCTCCCACGTTATGGAATCAAGAAACTCTTCGGGTATTTCCAGCGTCGATTGCTCACGCAACTCGGGTATGTGACGTGGTGGCGAACGTTGGCCGCTTTGTGGTTGCGCCCGATCTCTGTTCAGCATGCCATATGGATCGCTAATCTCATTCCAAATGGTCTTCATCAGCTCACGGTCGGCTTTGTCCAGAGTGCGTGCAGGTAAGCCCCACATCTGCACCTTGCGCAGCACTGGTGGACAACGTTCTGTTGCCCGGATCACGATCTTAACACTGTTTGTTGTCGACAGTATTTTGTGGGCCGACTTGAAGAAGAACACCTTTTCGCTCTGCTGCTGCGCTGCTGCAGCGCTGCTACGCGAATTGTAGTCGCTCTGATAGCAGAAGGTTACAGAGTCCATGCTCTTGCCGAGATCCCGTACAAAGGCCACACGTTCCCAAATTCCCTCGTACTTACCGTGCACCTCAAATGCTGTAGACCGCAGAGCACCAGATGTGTGCCATAGCTTGATGACCTTCAGATCGATGGCTTTGGGAAAGTCAAAGACAATCTCTACGGGGGGCTTACAGACCGAGAAGGCCATGAAGCCGCGCTCCAGCTGCTCTGGATCATCGGCTAGCAGATTCGCAGCCGTGTAGCCATCCTCACAGACGGCATCACAGTCCACTGTGGGCTTGAGTTTGGGATTAAGAAAGTTGATGAGGCTGCTCATTGAGTGCGTGATTTATGATGAGTGGTTGCTTCGCAGTATTGGTATTGGTACCACTACTCTTACTATTGAAAGATAGCAATGGCGTTCAAACGCTTGGTCACGCGCTGTTGTTGGTGCGGCTGCTGCTGTTACTGTTTCTACCTGGCTTCCAACGCTTGTGGTTTGCCCCACCTGCTCTCTGCCTTAATTCGCACCGAAAAATGGCGTCACGGGCTCTGTGTACTTCTATTCTCAGAACAATCAACTTGCAAGTAGGATTGTAATTTTTTGCCATTCACAATTACGTCTCAACGTTCATGCGCACTGGTAGCACTGCTGGTAGTGCTGCCAATTTGCCAGCTGGTGGGACGCCATAGCATTTGCAATCATTTAAATAATTTCTCTATATTAGACAACTATTTATAGCATGCGGTAGAAACTGGAAAGGTATTTAAAAAGGTATTCTTATTAATTATTTAACTTTTAAATAAAACATTTTTGAGTATTTAGTAACTATTTTATTGTCATAAGCAAGATTTAACTGTATTTATTGCGCATCTAACCATTTGTTTTTGTCAATCAAAGATGGCAGCTCCAATTGTTCCTTCAGATTGGTAACACTTCGCTTACATTGGCTTGCGCGCCAACTGGTGTTGGTCGAAATTCGAATTTGGTGTTTATTTAAACATTATTTGCCTAATCCTAAAACGAGCCCGTTGCTTATTTTTTAAATCGGCAAATAACTGTTATATTTGTATATTACACAATGACAAATGTTTCACAAATAAAAAAATGTCTGTGTCGAGGGCAATGGCATGGGCAAGCCATGAAAAGATATGCATATTAGCAATATAAATGGGTGCTATGCTTCGAGGAGTGCGATTTTCACGATAAGAAGTTATACATACATACGTTATCAAAACGGGCATTCTATTGTGAAGTATAAAAATAATCGTTGCGATTAGGGGTGCACAAATATCCGCTAATCAATGGGAGATTACAAGCGATTACCACATGGGGAGCTATAAATTGTAGGACTTTTGGGTGCGACAGCTTCAGTTGCTTTGCTCATCACCATGAAGTGGTTGCTCCTGCTTGTTGGAGCGATCGCCGCGTCCGCCCATTTGCTGCCCGAAGTACCCAATAGTATTGATTACACACAAGACGATAAATCTTTGTCCGATTTGGCAGATTCCCTGGCGACAGTCTTTGAAGAGGAATACCATAATTATTTGAAGACAAATGTGGAAACTGCGAGATTTCAGCAACTCACAACGACGCTGGCCAAGATGCATAGTAAAAAGGATATATTCACCAAAGATTTACCTGATCTGGAACCGAGGGATCAGTTTTTGACTTGCACTCTATGCCGTTCGGTTGTCAATGTCTTTGCGCGCACCATACGTGAGGAGGAGGACGGCCAGTTATATGGCAAAAATAGTACAGAGGTGATGCAGGGCTTTGCCATGGATGTTTGTCGACGCCTGGAACTACAAACGGAGGAGGTGTGCGGCGGCCTGATCGACTTTTACATCAACACAGTCGAGTACGTCATGCGGCATTCAGAGATTGATTCGCAGAATTTCTGCTCGCTTTTCATGAATTACAACTTCTGCAATACGGGCAAGAATCCCGACTACAACTGGACACTAACGGTGAATAGCGAGGGTGAGCCCATCAGTGGTTCCAAGTCGGACACTCCTGTCCAAAGTGAGACTGATCTCAAGATTTGCCATTTTACCGACATTCATCACGATCCTCTGTATGAGCCGGGTAGCCTGGCGTCCTGCGATGAGCCGATGTGCTGTCAGCGCCACAAGGACACGGCCGAGTCTACTGGAGCCACGGCTGGCTATTGGGGCGACTATCGCGATTGTGATTTGCCGTGGCATGCCTTCGAGTCTGCACTGAAACATGCGACAAGCAATGTGAAATGCGACTTTGTCTATCAGACTGGCGATATTGTCGATCATATGGTCTGGAGTACGTCCGTGGAAAAGAACGTTGGTGTGTTAAGTAAAGTGACTGATCAACTGGCGTCAGCTTTTGATGGTGTGGGCATTTATCCGTGCATTGGCAACCATGAGCCGCATCCACTTAATCTGTAAGTATTCCAATTCATGGCATATTCCATCAAGTTTTTGTTACTGTGAGATTGGATGGGAAAAGGACAAGAGCTTTTCACTTATCTCAGTCCTTTAATCTTTAAATGACAGTTAAGAGGATCGAGTGACAGGATAAAAGAGGACCTTGCAACTACTTTACTTCACTTAAAAGCTATCTTATCTACTCCTTCTCTCTCTCTTTCTCTCTCTTGCTCTCATAAATGATCGTAGGACAGGGCAACGTTCTTAAATCTCATTCTTTCCTTTTAAAATAGCTTCATCTTTCTTCGAATTTCTCTAGGAGCTTCTCACTCTAATTTATCTCTTGTATTGCTCTCTTTAATCTGTCGAAGATATAATCTATTCTACTCTACATATGTATAGTATATATAGTGTACCCTCAGCTAATGGTGCTTCTTTCACAGTTTCAGCCCCGAAGACGTTCCTGATAATATCAACACTAAGTGGCTGTACGAGGAGCTGTACAACGACTGGTCCCGCTGGCTACCAGAGGATACCAAAGAGACTATACTGAAAGGTGGATACTATACCGTTTCGCCACGTCCTGGTTTTCGTATAATTGCTCTGAACAGCAACGATTGTTATACCGACAACTTTTGGTTGTACTATAGTGGCAGAGATAAAATTCCACAATTGGAGTGGTTCCACGATGTTCTTCTGGCTGCCGAGCGTGCTGGCGAGCATGTCCATATTTTGACTCATATCCCAGCGGGCGATGGCACTTGCTGGTCTGTTTGGGCTCGCGAGTACAATCGCTGCATAACACGCTTCCACAAGACTATCAGCGGCATTTTCAACGGCCACTCCCACAAGGATGAGCTAAATGTACATTATTCCGATGAGGGCTATGCTACAGCGGTCGCCTGGAACGGTGGTGCATTGACCACCTATAGCAATAAGAACCCCAACTATAGAGTCTATGATGTAAATGCTGAGACTTACGATGTGACCAATCATTACACCTTCATCTACAATCTGACTGAAGCCAATTTGAATCCGGATGCTGAGCCAAATTGGTACCAAGAGTACCAATTTGCGGAGGAGTTCACCACAGATACTAGTCCTGCGGGCATGGACAAGTTGCTGGAGAATATGGCAGACAACCCCCAGCTATTGCGCAAGGTAGGCTTTAGAGCTTATACTATATCAGTAGCTTTATCATTTACTATATTTCTCTGTAGTACTGGCGCTATCGTGTCACCTCTGCGGATCCACAACTAAATACGGGCTGCAATGACAACTGCCTGGCATCGGTGCTTTGTCGTGCTGCTGTGACAGTAAATGATCGTCGGGAACGTTGTGAAGAGTTGAAGGAACGCCTATTCATAGCCGTAAGTCTTACTAACCAAGAGGACTAAGATGTTATTATTTATATTCTGTTTGCTGCTTAATAGTTGGAGAATGAAAGTACGAGCACCACCACACCTAGCCCCAAACCTGAAGATGATGGAGCGACAGCCCTCAGCACATTAGGCATTTCGGCTTTGCTGACCTTGGTACTAGCCTTGAGGCTTACTAGTTTTTAGACAACGCAAGACTTGAATTTATATGCAGCTTTTAAAGTTACATAACACAATCTAAAACTTTTGAAAAATATAAAAATATGCCAATCAACGTGATATTCTATAATCTGGTTAAGCATAACGAATCGTTTTGCACCGCTTTAGCCATGGCCTCTACTTGCGACTTATCTGCGAAAATAATAATATTTACTGAAATTAGCTAAGTCGTGCTATAAAGCCATAAACGGGCTGATATATTGTACCAACTAATAATAATCAATAAAAGTGCCGATTTGCCAATTAACACGTGAATGAAAATTATATTGGTAAGCGCATACTATATATAACATGGATGGATTATGTTATGGAGTCGAAAACAATCTCCATTTAAGATATTCAAGCTCTACAATTCCTAATGAGTCCTTTCATCTTAATTGAATAGAATAACAAGAACTGAAAGGAATTGTAGAGTCTCGACTAAATGAATGGACTGAGTAGAATTTTATAATGCATTATAAACAACATTAACAATTAACTGAAGTATTTTTTATGTGTCTTAATCTTTAATTCAAAAGCTTATCGCTTAAAACGAAAGTTGCTTCCGTTGTCGAAAGCAGTAAAAAACCTACTGGGGAATAACGCGAGCTACTTATAAAACTGAAGAGGTTTGAGCAGAAACATGTTTAATTTACAAAACAACAGATGCAAGCTGTGTCTTATATAGTATTGTTGGGATAAGTAAGGGATAATTTTAAGTAAGATCAACAAGAACTCCGCTAATTTAGCATTCCCATTTAAAAACACTATCCAGATTAGTTTGTAATGTTTCTATTTTTAAATTATTAGCAGAATTTTGGTAGTTTGTACCGAACGACCTAAGAGTTATTGCTGCTGATAGCCTGGTATTGGAACAAGTTCGTAGTAGCTCATACAGCCACTAAACATGAGATTGGTCGGGAGTATTATGCTGCTGAGCGCGGTATTTGTGGTCAGCAGTTGGGCCTTTAATTTTCCCAACTCGAGCTTAAGTAGGAATGAGCGTCGTAGCGCCGTCTTGTCAGGTAAATAAGCTTTCAACATTCGGCGGATTATTTTTATCTCGCATATTTGTTTTAGCCAAGGTGGCCGATGAGATCAGCCGCGAGTTATTAAAGTATGTGCGTACGGGTGTTAGGTCGGAAAGGTTGATGCAACTCGCCGCACAGCTGGGTGGTGCTCATAGCCAGAAGGACATCTTCACAAAATCGATGGTGCATCTGAGCGAACGGGATTCGTTCTTCGTGTGCACCATGTGCCGAGCCACCGTGACTGTAGTGGCTCGCGTCCTCACCTCTCCACATGGCGAGCTCAACGGCCCCAATCGTGACGAGAATGCCAAGAAGGTGATTTTGGATATTTGTGACCTTTTCGATGTGCAGACACCTGAGGTGTGCGCTGGCATCTTTGATCTCAACTGGCCCATTGTGGACTATATATTGAATGAGACGATTGCCGATTCGCGTACTATTTGCGGCATGCTACCTATACCGTTTTGTGATGTAAAACAAGCCGAGTTCAAATTCAGTCTGAAAATCAAAGGTGATCTGCCGACAGAGTCTAAGACGGACTTGCCTGTGCGCAGTCCCAACGATCATCGCATTCTCCATCTGACGGACATACATTACGATCCCGAATATCTTGAGGGTGGTCTGGCTGAGTGCAGAGAGCCCATGTGCTGTCGAGATCCGTTGCCTGAAGGGTCCACTTCGACTCCAGCTGGTCGATGGAGTGATTATCGTGACTGTGACACGCCACGCCGTCTCATTGTCAATGCCTTTGAGCACATTCAGAAGAACCAGAAGATAGACTGGATCTACCATACGGGTGATGTGCCACCCCACAATATCTGGTCCACTACTAAGCAAGGGAATCTGGATATGCTGACAGAAATCGATGAGCTACTGACCGAATATTTTCCAGAGATACCCATCTACTCTTGTCTCGGAAATCATGAAGCCCATCCCACCAATGTGTAAGTGGGAGAAACTTTTGTTTACTTTGCGACTAAGTTGAGGTTGCTTTACAGGTTTGGTAACGATAGAGTACCCGATGAGCTGAGTGTGAGTTGGTTATACGATCACGTTTGGAGTCTGTGGTCCAAGTGGTTGCCATCTGAAGCAGAGTCTACTGTACGCAAAGGCGGCTACTACACTGTTGTTCCCAGCCAGGGACATCGCATAATTGCACTCAACTCCATGGACTGTTATCTGTTCAACTTGTGGATTTTCCTCGACGGGTCGGTGGTGTTGGAGCAGCTTCAGTGGTTCCACAATACGCTTTTAGCTGCCGAGGCTGCCGGCGAAAAGGTTCATATTCTCAGCCATATTCCTTCTGGTGATGGCGATTGCTGGTCAACGTGGGCCCGCGAGTATAATCGCTTGTTGGAACGTTTCAGTGGCATTATCACAGGTATTTTCAATGGCCACACGCACAAGGACGAAATGAATCTGCACTACACGCCTGAGGGCCTGGCCGTGGCCATATCGTGGAACGGTGGCAGTCTGACACCCTTCTCCAACAAGAATCCCAACTATCGCATCTACGAGGTGGATCCAGATAACTGGCAGGTGCTTGAACACGAGACCTGGATCTTCAACCTGACAGCGGCCAATGAGGGGAACAATGAGCCTGAGTGGTATCGGCTATATTATTTCTCAGAGGCCTTCACTGTCAACACAAGTCCATACGGCATTGATCAGTGGCTTCTGTATATGGCCAAGAATCCTGACATGCTGCGCAAGTTCTATCGCTTCAAGTACAGCTACTCGGAGCCGGCATTGGATGCAGGCTGTAATAATCACTGCCTGAGTGCAACGCTTTGTCGCCTGGCCACCACCAACTATCAGGATAAGAAGCGATGTAAGGAGCTGCAGGCTATTCTAAAGAAATTGTAAGTACACAGTGCATTAATGAAACCCATTGGCTCCTTAACACCTTCTCTAATTACACTTTTTGCACTTGGAAAACGAAACCACACCGGATGATGATGGCGTCGCATCGCTTACAGCCTAAAGATTAACCAGTTTCTTGGGTCTAGTGTTCGTTCTTAGGCATTTTATTTAATTGCTTTCCATGGTAGTTCATGTGTGGGTCTTAGGTTGTGATTAGTTATACTTTGTATCTTAACAAGAGTATACTGAGCTTGCGGTTCTTCTAAAAGAATTTGGAAAACTTGATCCCAGAGTATTCCAACGTATGTTCAGCATGCAGAAATGAATGGTATTATCGAAGGTCCATCCTGCATGCATATTAATGTATATATTTGAAGGCAAGGAACTTCATTAATTAAATTGAAGCTAACTCTTTTCGTAGAATTCACGATTGACTGATACTATACTATACACTATACTATACATCCATCGAACTATACATCCATATTTTTCTTATCCTTACACAATACCTAAACATGTTTCCTGAATGCCAGAAGTCGTAAAGGTAAAGAGCAAAAAACCTTAAAAAAATAAATTAATATTAATATTTTAATAACTATTAAACTAATCTAACTCGTGGGGAGCCTATTCAAAGCACAATGTAATCAGAGACATTATTAGACGTGAAGAAGAATTAACAATATAAAAAGCTATGCCCTAACTCCGTTAAGAAGAAATAAGATTATAAAAGAAGAAACTAAAAGTACAAGAATTAAATAAGAAAAAAAAATTAAAATAAAAACAAATTAAAAATATTTCAAATAAAATAATAAGTTTAAATGTATATAAAATATAAAATATAAATATAAAATTTAAAATGCCCTAACTCCTAGTCGTGTGTGGTCAGAGATCTATCTGGAAATCGTCAGGCTCATCTATCCATATCCTGTCAGAATGCAAAGCACTTGATTTCTAAAAGAAACTGTTGAAGAAGGACTAGCTGCCTTTAATTAAAATTAAAGTGCGGTTTTTTCTCTGTAAGTGTACAAATAATACAAATACACTAATTAATTATCCATTAGTTCCCAAATATTACCCATCATTTTAGTCTTTAATTAGTCTTTTTATGAATCGTCGATGTATTTGTTTACCCAATAATTCGTTTTTGATGACGCGTTTTGCTTCCCTTGACAGATTATAACAATAATCGCACATGATAATCAAATAATGCGATAAGCTGCCATTAACATTCCCAATGGAACCAGAAATTATTAAAAATTATAGATTATTAGAGGTAAAGTGTTAGCAGAGAAGCTCTGGGACCTGTGGGAGTGCGCCTATTTCAGAATAATACTTTTTAAATTGCTGACCTTGGTAATAGTCTTAGGACTAAGTAGTTTTTAGGCAACGCAAGACTTGATATTACAAGTATATGCTGCTTTTTAAGCTACAGAACACAATCTAAAACTCTTGCTAAAATATTAAATATATGTCAATCAAAGTAATATTCTATAATCTTGTGAAGCATGTAGTACCCAATCGTTCTGCACCGCTTTCGCCTCTACCTTCAACTTATCTGCCAATAGCGCAAATAATAATATTTACTGAAATTAGCTAAGTCGTGCTATAAAGCGATAAACTGGTTTATATATTGTACCAACCTATAATAATCAATAAGCGAAAAGTGCCGAATTTCCCAAATGGCACGTGAATGAAAATTAGATTGTTATGGAATCGAAGACAATCTCTTTAATCTTTAAGATGCACAAACTCCACAATTCCCAATTAGACCTTTTATTTTAATAGAAAAGAGTGCCAAGAACTGAGAATCAATATAGATACTCGATTGAGTCGAGTACTTATTGTTATATACTGAGTATAAATCAGACAGCTTTTTAAAATGCAAATTAATGAGTCTTAGGTATGTGGATTAAGGACTCAGGTGCTTTTTAGAATTTCTCAGATTGCATATTTAGTTGAAGTATTTTTTATTAGTTCTAAAGCTTATCGTTTTAAAAAAATTTTGTTTCCGTTGCCGAAAGCAGTAAAACCCTGCTGGGGAATAAGGCGGTTATCGGCCTATGGCTTATAAAACTGAAGAGGTATGAGCAGAAACATGGTTAATTTACAAAAAAACAGAAGCAGGTCTAAAGTCGAAGTATATCCCAAGTTGTGTCTCATATTGTGGAGCGTAAGATAAACAAGAACTCCTCTTATTTACCATTCTCATTTAACTCAATGGGCTTACTGTGCTTCAATAATGTTCACATCAAAAATGACTAATCTGGATTAGTTTGACATGTTTATACTGTTAAATTATTAGCAAATTTTGGTACTTGGCTCTGCACGACCTCAGAGTTATCGCTGCTGATAGCCTGGTATTTCGATAAGCGGTATGAGACACAAGCTATATATGTCAGAGAAAACTATGAGAACAAGTTAGTAGTTGCGCATACGGCCACCAATCATGAGATTGCTCGGAAGTATAACGCTGCTGAGCGCAGTATTTGTGGTCAGCAGTTGGGCCTTTCACTTTCCCAGCTCGAGCCTAGGTAGGGATGATCGTCGTAGCACCGTCTTGTCAGGTAAATAAACTTTCAACATCCGGAAGATTTTATTTTATCTCGAATATTTGTTTTAGCTGAGATGGCCGATGAGATTAGCCACGAGTATTTGAATTATGTGCACACGGGTGTTAGGTCGGAAAGGTTGATGGAACTCGCCGCACAGCTGGGTGGTGCTCATAGCCAGAAGGACATCTTCACAAAATCGATGGTGGATTTGACTGAACGGGATTCCTTTTTCGTGTGCACCATGTGCCGAGCCACCGTGAATGTAGTGGCTCGCACCTTCACCTCTCCGGAAGGCGAGCTCAACGGTCCCAATCGTGACGAGAATGCCAAGAAGGTGATTTTGGATATTTGTGACCTTTTCGATGTGCAGACACCTGAGGTGTGCGCTGGCCTCTTTGATCTCAACTGGCCCATTGTGGATTATATATTGAACGAGACTATTGCCGATTCGCGTACTATTTGCGGCATGCTACCAATACCCATTTGCGATGTACAACAAGGCGAGTTCAATTTCACTTTAACAATCAATGGGGATCTGCCGACAGAGTCTAAGACGGACTTGCCTGTGCGCAGTCCCAACGATCATCGCATTCTCCATCTGACGGACATACATTACGATCCCGAATATCTTGAGGGTGGTCTGGCTGAGTGCAGAGAGCCCATGTGCTGTCGAGATCCGTTGCCTGAAGGGTCCACTTCGACTCCAGCTGGTCGATGGAGTGATTATCGTGACTGTGACACGCCACGCCGTCTCATTGTCAATGCCTTTGAGCACATTCAGAAGAACCAGAAGATAGACTGGATCTACCATACGGGTGATGTGCCACCCCACAATGTCTGGTCCACTACTAAGCAAGGGAATCTGGATATGCTGACAGAAATCGATGAGCTACTGACCGAATATTTTCCAGAGATACCCATCTACTCTTGTCTGGGAAATCATGAACCCCATCCCACCAATGTGTAAGTGGGAGAAATTATGTTTACTTTGCGACTTAGTTGAGGTTGCTTTACAGGTTTGGTAACGATAGAGTACCCGATGAGCTGAGTGTTAGTTGGTTATACGATCACGTTTGGAGTCTGTGGTCGAAGTGGTTGCCATCTGAAGCAGAGTCTACTGTACGCAAAGGCGGCTACTACACTGTTGTTCCCAGCCAGGGACATCGCATAATTGCACTCAACTCCATGGACTGTTATCTGTTCAACTTGTGGATTTTCCTCGATGGGTCGGTGGTGTTGGAGCAGCTCCAGTGGTTCCAAGATACGCTTTTAGCTGCCGAGGCTGCCGGCGAAAAGGTTCATATCCTCACCCACATTCCTTCCGGTGATGGCGAATGCTGGGCAACGTGGGCTCGCGAGTATAATCGCTTGTTGGAACGTTTCAGTGGCATTATCACAGGTATTTTCAATGGCCACACGCACAAGGACGAAATGAATCTGCACTACACACCTGAGGGCCTGGCCGTGGCCATATCGTGGAACGGTGGCAGTCTGACACCCTACTCCAACAAGAATCCCAACTATCGCATCTACGAGGTGGATCCAGATAACTGGCAGGTACTTGAACACGAGACCTGGATCTTCAACCTGACAGCGGCCAATGAGGGGAACAATGAGCCTGAGTGGTATCGGCTATATTATTTCTCAGAGGCCTTCACTGTCAACACAAGTCCATACGGCATTGATCAGTGGCTTCTGTATATGGCCAAGAATCCTGACATGCTACGCAAGTTCTATCGCTTCAAGTATAGCTACTCGGAACCGGCGTTGGATGCAGGCTGCAATAATGAGTGCCTGGGCGCAACGCTTTGTCGCCTGGCCACCACCAACTATCAGGATAAGAAGCGCTGTCAGGAGCTGCAGGCTATTCTAGAGGAAACTGTAAGTGCACAATTGTATAATGAAACCCATTGGCTCCTAACACCTTCTCTAATTACACTTTTTGCAGCTGGAAAACGAACCCACAGCGCCCCCACCGGGCGGTGATGGCGCCGCCTCGCTTACAGCCTACAGCTTAACCAGTTTCTTGGGTCTAGTGTTCGTCCTTAGGCATTTTATTTAATTGCTTTTCGTGGTAGTTTATGTGTGGGTCTTAAGTTATCGCCAACATTGCGATTAGTTTTATATATAGCTTATCAATAATAATGGCTTTCGATTAGCTACCACTTTATAGATATAATACTTCACATTGAAAATTGAAGCACGAGTATTGTATTATACATGTTTTCGATGGGCATTAAAATTTCTTGGTACATATATACAAGTATATGTACATACTAATTATCTATAAATTCTCAAGTTTTTGGTCAATCATTTTTATTGCTGTTCAATAAAAACAAAAATTCGTAGATAACTTAGTAATTTACAAGAATAATAACTGGCAGGATTGATATCGATCTATGAGCTACGAACACTATTGAGCTTGTGTTGGAGGAGTCGCCAATTCTCTTCTAAAACGAACAGAGAAAATAAACCTCGCAGGCGAACCTTTCATCGAAACAAAAGTTTATCGCTGTTCGAGAACCGAAACCTCCATCGTAATATTCTTGATGTAAAGGACCGATAGGAGAAAGTTACTGCAAAATTAAAAAAATTGTTATAAATTAATACTTATAAGGCCAAGAGCAAAAAACTTTAAGAAAATTAAAATAATATTTACCACTAATCCAACTCATTGGCAAACTTTCATTTCGAGCTACTTGTATATCCCGATTCAAAACACAAAATATTGAGAAACATTATTTGAGATAAAGAACAATTAAGATTATACAAGGGGAAACTAAAAATACAAGTAAGTATTTTATATTAAAAAATAAAAGTTAATGAAAGTAAATAAATAAAATTGAAAATGGATATTTATTGGCCAGGCGGTAAGGTATGCCATAACTGGTCAGAGTTCTATCTAGAAATGGTCAGACTTATCTCTCCAGGGCTAGCTGCTTTTATTGAAATCAAAGTGCAGCTTTTTTTCTCCGAGTGTACGAATAACATTACGCCGATTTTAATTATACATATTCGTTTGGCATTTAGGTGTAATTATCTAATAGTTCCCACGCACTAGCCATCATTTTAGTCATTAATTAGGCTTTTTATGAATCGTCCATATATTATTTGTTTGACTAATGATTCGGTTGTTGATGACGCGATTTGCTATTTTAACTTGGAGTATTATAACAATAGTCGCACGTGATAACTAAAAATGCGATAAGCTGCCATTAACATGCTCAATGGAACCAGAAATGATTGAAAATTATAGATTAATAGTGATAAAGTGTTTGCAGAGCGACCTGTGGGACTAGGCCTATTTGCGAATTATACTTTATTTGAGGCTTACAATTATTACTCAATTAGTATTACAATTCCATATGAATCCTAAAGGCTTAGTGGCTATAGCCGCCTAGCCCATTTCAAAAAGTAAGCTAATTTATTCCCCTTGCGTTGCAAACTTTCCTAATAACTGCTGCAAATTTAATTACAATTAAAAGTTTTAATTGAGAAATGCTGTCAACTCTAGAAATAGACTCAACAATAATGCGCCGCCGCAGAAATTAAACATCAAATGTATTTTGTCAACATTCAGAATTTTCGATATACATAATATTTATTTAAAAGTTTCTTTGGTTTCTTATATTTCTTCAATTATTAGTATTATTTTTTGTTGGGTTTGGCTGTAGCTCCAAACTACCAGATGAGTATTTTTGACTGCGGATTAATTAAAATGCCACACGAGTGAGAGATTGGGGGTCAAAGTTCAAGTTGCTTGGGGGGTTAGTTTTACATTTTGTTCATGTTTTTTTTTTGTTTTTACATATAAATACATATGTTGGCATTTGTGTTTACACACAAACACATAATCGGTAAATATATAATCGTCCATATTTACATAGAATTGTCCACGATCCGCTTATAGCGCACACATAAGCGTGGCTATATCCAGATCCTGCTCGTCGGCCTTGCGCACCACGACAGCGACCTGATTCTGATAGCGACCTGTGGATAGCAGACGCACATTGGTCACGCCACAGAATATGGCCTGTTCCGGACCCGGCTCATTGGAGGCACCGCACACAGCACTGGCCAGCTCCATGGCTCCGGCATCTAGACCAGCGGATCCGCCAATTTCCAAACGATCAGTGAACATGTTGCACTACATTTCATAGAGAGTCGTTTGGAGGGATATGGTAGTCTGACATTCTCATACTCACATCATAATTGACCTTTTGTTGGGCACGCACGATCTTGCCACCAATGCGCAAGTTGGCCAGAGAAATGGAAGCCGGAAAGAGCGCGGAGAGCGTACAGTTGCGTGCGTGTCCGTAATTCGCCATTTTGTAAACGGCAGCAGTATCCTGAACGAGCACATTGCAGGCTGCAAAAAGGAAGATCGTACATACATAGGAAAACATATTTTTTATAATTCGTATTTTTATATATATTTGAGTTTTTTTTTAATTAAAATTAGTTCCTTTTTAATCAACTAAAACTTTTTAAGTTGGTTAAATAATTACAAAGAAATAAAAAAGAATGAAGTCAGCAGAGAAAAGATATAGGTATGTATATCTGTCTGTAAGTATAATATTTTTGAAGACAAATCTAGCTCAGCTACCTTTTTAATATTTTAATTAATTCACTTTTATGTATATCTTTTCGAGGGGAATTTTGTAATAGATTTTAAGCTATTTCCTCTTGAAATTTGTGCTAGAATCAGATGACAATGTAAACATTCTCTATATAGTTTTCTTGATACAAATGCATTGGTCCAGGAGAGAGGCGCTGAAAAAATTGAGCTCCGTTTAGAAATGAAGAAGCAGAAGCGCCTAGAAGCGCTTGAATTGAAAGAAGAGACTTAAGACTTAATTTAAGGCAAGCGGCCTAAGTCTCTAAACATCAACAAAATATTGAATGCACTAAAATTAAAAAACCCATGGCTTAAGGTCTATGGAATCCATGGCAGCACATTTTTCCCAGCTTGTCATAAAAGCCAATAAAACAGCCGATCAGCATATTTATCGACAGTCAACAAATCAATTGTGTCAATCAATTTTCTAAATGACGAACTAGAGAAACAAGTCTAGAATATTAAGCAAAATTTCAACATTCAAGGCTTATGCTGAACGAGTGGCTGATGGAAAAGTCTGTCATTGAATTATAAACATGTTTTGCGACCAAATGTACTGTATTTGCCAGTAAAAATGCTTCCTTATGAGGAATTAAATAAAGCTTGACTTTGTCAAAACCATATTTTATAGTTCCGTAAAAAGTGTGGCTTCATAAATTTTTTATTTCATTAGAATGCAATTTTGTACGTTTTAGAAACATTCCGACAAAGTTAAATGTCATATAATTTATTAAAAATGTACATAAAATGAAATATTTCCTATACGATGTTTTGACAATGTTTAAGAAAATGTAGATATTAAAAATAAAATCAAATTATTGTCAAACAATCTTCATATCAAATATTTATTTAATAAACAATTGAAAGAATATTGGTATTGGATGGCCCTTTCTGCTCCTTCTCATGCACATATGCTTCAAATATGTATAATATACATACATATTTTAAAACTGAAAATCTTAAAGATTTGCATTCTTTAAATTTCAGTAAAACAATTGTTTTTATAAGCCAAAAAGTAAAAATAATGAAACAAAAATTGGTCATGAGATTAGTTCCTTTTGATCTACATTTAATTTAAATATTTATTAGTTTATTACTTATTTTTCTTTAAAACAAATAAAAGATTTAGTAAATAGTTTAAATGAAATATATTGTTATAAAATCTTACGCTGTGTTATCTTGTGGAAGCGGACATTGGCCACAAAGGATCCCCGTGCCGGGATACGGTATTGCAAGAGTGCGGCATTCTGACTGGAGCGAAAGAACTTTTTGTTGCTGATGCGTGGCCTGACAATAAACAATTCATATAAAACCATAACACTATAATACAAATAAGTATGAGCACACACCAGTGCTTGTAATTGTTGCAGAACTCAAAGACTCGATCCTCCAGCGGACGATGATGATCCTTAATGCCCGGAAAGTATTCGCCATTTAGTTCCCAGCCATCAACGAACTGGCAAACAAGGTGCGATGGAAACGTATATATACATACAAGTATATTTGTAGAGGATGTAGATGTAGTTTAATGAATAAAAAAAAGGCAATAGACTGTCTTACCGCCATCAGACCGCCGGTCTCGCAATTAACATCGTAGTGTTTCATTGTAATCTCCACAATCGTGTCTGGCTCGCCAATCACATACAGACCGCACACATCCAGAGCAGCCTCAGCAGCCGCGGCGGCAGCAGCTGCAGCAATCTCAGCCTCAGCTCCCGCCTCCAGCTCCAGCAGAGTTGCTGCCTCCCTGTTGAGCACGCCCAGCGGCTGTGACGACGTCGACGACGATGACGGTGCTGACTTCTTGAAGATGTAATCACCTGGCTCGGATGCCACGTGCATGCAATCTGCGATGGGAACATAGCAGTGAGGATTTAATGACTGCAATGTATAGCTTAAGGCCCCAGGTCCCACCCAAAATCCGCCCAAAATGCAGGCCATTCGAAAGCAATTTGGCCAATTTCAATAAATTGCAGAAGCTTCTGAAAATGTAATTTGTGTGTGGGCTGGTTGGTTGGGAGGATGTCTGGGAGGCAGGACGGATGGCTGCTTGATTCGACTTTCGAGTTGCAGCTCATTGGCTGCCATTGTTTGTTTGTCTCTGTTTGCCCGGAATTCTGTGTGGTTGTGTGTTTGTGTGGGTGTATGTAATAATTGGAAATCATTTGACGGACTCCAGCCGTATATCACAGTGGTCTTCAGCGTTTTAATCAATAACAATTTATTACTTTCTTTCATTGAATAGTATTCAAAGCTGTTTGTAAAGAAAATTGCTTATACATTGTTTGAAAGCTATCGCTGATCAATTACATACGAGTAGTTTTTGACCGAATGGCGTTCCTTTAACTATTGGTATTAAACTTCCAATCAATGTCAAAATGATATATGATTGGACTTAAAACCGAAACCAGCCAGCTGACTCATAAACCACATTTCAAACGATAATAGTACTAGAAGAGAAAGAGAAGAGAGAGAAGAGAAGAGAAGAGAAGAGCAAGAGACGTAGAAGAGAATAGAAGAGAAGAGATGAGAAGAGAAGAAAGAGGATAGAAGAGAAGAGAAAAAGAGAAGAAAGAGAATAGAAGAGAAGAAGAAGAAAGGGGAGAGAGAAGAGAATCGAAAGAAAGAGAAGAGAAGAGAATGAGAGAGAAGAGAAGAGAAGAAGAGCTAAGAGAAGAGAAGAGAATAGAAGAGAAGAGAAGATTGAAGAGAAGAGAAGAGAAGAAATGAGATAAAGAGAAGATAAGATACGAGAAGATAAGAGAAGAAGATAATAGATATAATAAGATAAGATAATATAATATAATATAATATAATATAATATAATATAATATAATATAATATAATATAATATAATATAATATAATATAATATAAAAAACTAAAACATGTTTGAAGGTTTTTAAACACATTTTTAGGGCCTGAAACAAGTTATAGCATATCCAACGTTCTCAAAATTCCGAATCATTTGATTACTAGACTTAGAAATTTTACATCGATGTCGACAGGTTTTAATTGTAGAAAATGAAAAGATCAATTGTTTTTAAAATTTAAAAATGTTATCTTTTTTTTAAAACTAAACATTTCTAGTTAAGCATTTTTTTTTGAATTTGTTGTACATAAAAAAGGAAAGCGTACATTTTCCGAAAAAGTTTTAGAGAGCAGAAACGAAATAAGTAAATACAAAAATTGGATTGGAAATTATAAATTCAGCTATAAATAATAGCCTTTTTTGGTGCTAATTTCTCATTGCGAAATTCTTTTAAAAATAAAAAGTATGAATAGTTGCGAGGAGTTGAAGTTTGTTATCAATACAAAAATGTGTGATCATTTTTATAAAATTTATAAAATATTACAGTTTCTCCTACTTAACACTAATTTATTAAGAGAAATTTGATTGTTATATGGTCATGAATTTAAATAATTATACTGTCGTAATATTTTATTTATTGTTATTATATTTTAATAATTGTATTCTTTAAGACAACATGAACAAATATTTTTAGATTTGCTATTTTTTATTATTTCCTAATGGTTAGTGACAGAATTATACATTTTTATTTCAAAGTCGATTTTTTGTTAAATTTAATATGAGATAATGAAAAAAGTGATTCTGCTGTAAAGATCCAATCAACAAATGCTTAAGTAGGCAAGCTTCGCTCAGAGAAATTGTTTATTTTCACAAAAAGTGGCTTCAAGAAATAGTGTGAATATTTGTGGCTAAGAATTGTTTGTTTTAAAAAGATGCATGGTTCTTGAAAGGCATTATTGCTTCAAAATTTATTGAATAGATTATCAATAAGAAATCAATGTTTATTCTTCGCTTAAATACTGAATTTAGGTGTATTATTTTTAATGTATAAACAAAAATAAATAAATAGACCTTATTGGCAATGAGACAAATTACATTTAATTTCATTTTGAAAAACCCTAATTGCTTGCTATGAGGAAATCATACATTTGGTCTAGTTATGTTCTAGTCTGGACCACTGTGCGTGGCCTGTTTGCAACAATTAATTTATCATACGCCACGTTGGTCGCTCTGGTCACTCAATGCCACTTAATGCCGCCGTTTGCTGATTTATGGCTTGCATTATTAGCTAGATTTTGGTCCCTTACCCATCGATAGTTGGCTGTGACATACCACGTACCACGCCTTATGACCATGGCCAAAACAATTAATGAAGCGTTTTACTTGTTATGCATGCCCGTCACATACTTCTCATATGGCCCTGGCCCTGGCCCTGGCTCTGGCTCCGGCTCCAATTCTGGCCCTTGTCCATCTGCGTAGGCGTCCGAATTTGTTACGCACACACATAAATCTCCATAACTTTGTCTATAAATGTTAAACTTTCTGGCCACTGCTCCTGTGTCTACGTCTCTTATTTGTCAGCCTGTGTGTGCTTTCGGCGCCTAATTGTTTATGATGAAGCTTAATTGCATTTAATGTGCGACAGTCTTGGCATTTTCATACTTTAATTAAATGCGCTTATCAATTATCAATTAGCAATATGAATCATTGAAAATATTTCAGCCACATTATAATTTTATAATACCAATTAGGTAACTAGTCATTAAGCTATTAAGAAATTTGAAAGCAGTGCGGGCTAATGAATTATAATGAGTCAGCATTGGAAGAAGAAGCCTATTTATGTAAATTATTCAGGTATTGTATAAAACAAAGTAGAACTACTTAGAGTATGATTCAAGTGGCAGCTTTGTAAATTCTTTTATTCATTAATATTTTAACAATCTTCCTTCGTAATTATGAAAATATAATGTAAATTTTCTTAACAGAGATATTCGGAAATGAGAATGTGTAAGTATTTATTGATTTATGATTTAATAGTCCAGCAGCATCCTGCTGCGCTTTGAAAATGGCAGCAGTGCGGCAGGAGAGCACTAAGGGAGTGAGGCAATTCTGTAAGACACTGAGCTATTTTGTCCTGTGTGTTCTGGCTGAGTGATTTAATCGCTTCTGGTTTCTTGCAACTCTTGCATCTGTCGTCTGTTTTGATGCCCAGCTTCTTGGCGAGGGTGGCTACCAAGCAATGAGCTATGAGCCTGCATTCTTCGCTTTGGAGTTGCAGGAGGAATTATGTTCGTTTTTTGTCTCTACATGGTGCGGACCATCTTGCAGCTGCCAGTGTGTTCCCACTGGTCTGAACTTGACAGTTTGTGACAACACAATCTCGAATCTGCATTCTGATGAGGAGCTATGCTCTTAACCGTGCTAACTGGATTGGGATAATAATCTTGTTCCATTCTCTATTCTTATCGAACGTGTAGAATGCATAAATCTCAACAATTCGACCTTAGTATGTCAATTAGAAGGTCTCCCCGTTAATCCCTGCACCACATAGAAAATTCTGCATTACAACAGCGTCCTTGTACTCACGATAGGGAGCCAAAACTGCTTTAAATTGCCAGTAATCGGAGCTCAGAAAATTTGAGCCAAATTCTTATTTATTTATTTCTTGTTAAAATTTTTGCAAAAGCGATTGTTTTCAATGCAATTTCAATAAAGAATATGTAAACTAGCTTGTTAGCTTTGCCCATCATTCGAAGTAGCCATTAATTCTAAATTGGTATTTGCATTGAAATGTGAATGATTTACACTTTCTTGTTTCTTACAGTTTCTAAGCGCTAGGCAAACAAACTTTTTTCAGTTCATTTTTTTATTTTTAAATGAATCAGATGTTTTGTGCTTTGTACCTAATTTCATTTTTCAAGTTAATTAACCAACTTCGAGATAGTTATCTAGAAGAATCGTCCTTCTCCGCTAAATCAAAAATAGGACCCATTGCTATGTCAACTACGCAATAAATAAAAGCAATTATAAGTATGGTGGCCGCAAATTTCCCTTGCAGAGCATGCAAAGAAGTTATATTGAAATAAGGTTTTGTTGCTTTGGCAATGGCTTGTCAATGAAACTAAGCTCGTAGTTTGTTGCCATTGAGCGGGCACGAACGATAACAAAGTTTACAGATTCATGTCATCAAAATTTAATAACTTGCATTTCAACGGAATTTCAATTTAAATATGTTGCTTTCAACGCTCATTGAGTGGCTCCAGAGGGCAAGCAGTGGCCAGAACTCGGGTTAGTTTACAATATTTATGGCTTTTCCGCACGTGTATCCCTTATCCTGCTTCTTTTTATAAGTATGAACAACTTATATAAAGTGCAATTTGTGTCTTCTGCTTGAATGGGCTATGTGATTCAAAGTGCCTGGGCAAATATTTGACTAATATTCATATCGGCAATACTATATACGTACATATTTCACTGCAATATATTGCGTATACGCCGTGTAGTGCACATCAAAGGCATAGCTTGTTGAAAAAACAATTTTGCAAGAACAATTTGAGACTTTTGCAATCGTTTTAAGGGCTTGAGTGCAACAGTATGCAGTCCTTCCCCCCATATCCCGTTTGTGAACTTACCGGAGATTGTGTGGACATTGGTCGGCGGCGGCGGATAAAGCTCAAAGGAACGCTTCACTGTTGGCCAGGCCTGTAAGAAGTAAACAGCGAGAGTAAATAATGTGTATGTAGCGGGCTCTTATGAATGAATCAGTCAGTCAGCTGCCACAAAGAGCCCTTCAGTTCATACAAAAGATTTTTATAAATAAATATTAAAAAGGGACAAAAGGGACAGTTGTCCTGGCAAATGCAACTGCTACTAATGTGGGCTGCCCTTTGTGAGGCAGCGGCGGCAAAGTCAAATGCTTAAGCGATAAAATCTGCGGGATGCCAAGCTAATAACAACATCCATGTATTTTCTGTTTTCTATTCTATTTCGTGCTTTTTAACACAGTCAGGACCTGTAACTGTAACTGCGATTATTGCGCCATTTGGCTTGGTTACATGCTGACAGCGAGACACTTGTGCTTGTACTTGTTCCATTTGCTGTGCTTGTCGCTGCTTGTTTGACTTAAATGACCATTTCGAGGAACAGCAGGACACGGGGCAGACAGACAGTCAGACAGAATGGCTCCACATTGTGCCACAAAGTGCCAAATCAATTTGAATTTTTTAATCAAACCTAATGTGAAATATGCTGGTAGATTAAAAAAACCGTTTAAGTGATATTTATTCATTAACTTGCCATTCTCGAAAATGTAAACATATTCTTAAATATATTTTCATTTTTATTAAAAAATTATAAAAATGTTTGTAGAAGAGTTAGAGTTTAGCTTATTAAAAACCAAAAGAAAGGGAAATAGTTTTGTTTAATCGAACGAATTCTGTGTACTACAAGGTGCATTCCAAAGTAAACAGGACTTTTGAATCTAGCGCCCCCTGGTGGCACTATCTATATGTCGACTAGTGCGTTAGAATCTGCTATCTTTATCGACTGTCCAGTGAGAATTTCATGACATTTCATCGATTGGAAGTCAAGTTATTGCATTTTAGTATGTTTGTGTTATCGATGCGAAAATGAGCTTCGAACAAAGAGCCAACATTAAATTTTGTTTTAAAATTGGTAAAACTTTTACCGAAACGTTTCAATTGATGGAACAAGTTTATGGCGATGGTTGCCTATCCCGTAGCAGAGTACACGAGTAGTTTCAACGTTTTCAAAGTGGTCGTGAGGACATAAATTACGATCAACATGTGGGCCAATCAAAATTAGTGATCACGCACAGTTTCGCGTGAACCCATCAAAACTCAGCCGAAATCAACATTGAAATTGATGGAAATGGAATTGAACATCTCCAAAAGATTATGTCGCCAAATATACAAGCTTTAGCACTAAACTGCATTCATTTCTCAGCATATTCTTCAAATCAAATAGTACTTGCCCTTTCAATTCTAAATTTAGCGCCGAATTAATTGCAATTTTTCTTGCAGTACAAAGTGAAATTTTATACTGCAATCCGGCCAATTAATATCCCTTCAAATCTAATAATACTACTACCCTGTGTAAGTTCAATAGTTGCTTTTATTGCACTTCCCTTGTATAACAGGATTCCAGGCCATTGCAAAAGAAAGCTAACGAAGAAGCCGACGACGTAGTTATAGCGGCAGCTAAATACAGACACCATTCCGATTTGTAAAATTGCATTCCCAATAAAGATTTTTACATTTATTTTCAAACACAAATCCCGCCGATCACTTCCTCAACAAAAAAAAAAAAAACCATCTAGGGGCTTAGGAAGTTTTGGCAAGATCTGGGACTAAATGGAAGGTAGTTTTCAAAACTCAGACGCTTTAGTTTCACTCACATATCTTTGATCCCACACAAAAATAAAGTCATCTGGCAATTCTGAAACATCAATACTTTCATTTCAGAAAAGCAGTTTATAACAGTTAGATGCTAAATCTTTTCCCAACTGACCAACTTCCTACCTCTCTCTTTAGTTCATAAATTTATCAAAATTCCATACAGCTCAGCTTATATCAACTTACTTGTATTTATGTACATGTACATATTATCTCCATATTTCATGATCTCAAATATTAAATCTAAAAGTTAAAGTTTGCCAGATTACTGAACAGTTATTTATTTTCAGAAACTCTCACCGCAACTTGTGCTTTTTCCACAAAAAACAACTTAATTTGTAAGTAAGCTCACAGGATATAAGTAATTGTTTGAAGAACAAGTTGAAAACTCTGCAAATTCAAGCAATTTCGATATATGTTTAATTGGAGAAGTAGCTATAAATGATTCTTGCGGCTTGATGACTATTATATTTGACTTAATTCTAATATTTTGCAGTGCTGGGAAATGTGAATTGATTATATTTTCTTGTGACAAACTCTACTTTATACATATTTTATGCTGTCCGCTCTTAAGCTGCCCGTTTAAGAGAAATTTATCAATAACATAGTAATATAATTTCTTAAAAAAGCGACTTTTACATTACTATTTCAAAAAGTAAAGTTTTATGAAAAATCTCATGGAAAATTGTAAAATGTAAAATTAGGAAAACTGTCATCATTTCTCATCTGTTGCGATGTCTAAGCGTGTTTATTTTCTGAGATTTACAAATTTATTCCTTAATTTGCTTAAAAGCTAAATGGAAACTTAAGTGCATCTGCTCGCTGATGAAGGCGACAACGACAGCCCTTGGGGCTTAGAGAAGGAGAAACACTCAAGCTTTTTATGCACCGTGAATTTTGAGGAAAGAAAGGATATTTTGTAGCTGAAGCTGGTCAAGCATTGGTGCTGTCTGGCTGCTTAACAGCTTAAGAGTCGAAAAGCGCAGCAACTGAAAAAGTTTATAAATGGACAAAGCCAGGCAAAGGTTTCGAATGCAGCAACCCTTACTCTCTTAACCCAAAAATAGAAACACAAAAGCCGCTTACGACCTCTGCTAGAATTCTGTCTAGAGCTGCGGGTAGGCGAACCAACACGGGCCAACTTTTATGATTGATTAAAGGTAACCATTTTTTTTTTTTTTTTTGTATTACAAGTATTCCTTTTTGGGGTGTTAATTGAAATCGCTGGTGCGCAGCGAGGACGCTCGCACTCATTAGACGGTCTCGGACATTTGATAAATGGTGACGTTTTTGTGGAAACTCAAGCCCCGTTGGGGTTAGCCGCACTCGGTGTTTGCCAAATACGTTCAATTTCAATTGTTTGCGCAACACTCGAAAAGCCAACACGGCTTTGGGCCTTTAACGAGTTCAGCGCGTTACGAAACTGTCAATTAGTGGCAGCTTTGGTCAGAACTTTAGGTTACGCAGATATGGTAACATCTGCATTTGGACAACAGGATTTCCCTAGAATTATCTTCATTTTCGAACAAAATTTAAATATACATCCAAAGATTCTTCATCTTTAGAAGAAGCAGATTAACCATCGTGTACTTTGTGATTATAATATTATTTTACATTTTTTCCCAATTTCATATTTGTTTTTGAAATACGTTTAAAATAATTTCGGAATAAGAAATTATTTTGGTTAAAAAATGCAGATTGAAAATTTTCTTAACTTTTTTTTTTAACTTTAGGGACTATATTTTTCAGATCCAACTTCACTTTTTATTTTGGGCCAGATATTACAGAAATTAAAATTTTTGACATAATTGAGAATTTTTATATATTCCTGGTTTAAATTACCAGAAATAAATATGCTGATTTGGGAGCAACTTGTGCCCCAGTTGGAGGTTAAAATGAACGCAGCTCATCTTAACTAATCTTTTGTTTCATTGTGTAAGCAAAAAAAATTGTTTTCTTTATATACAGATATATACTTTGTTGATTTCAGAACAAATGCAATGCTACCATATACTTGTAATTTAATAATTATCCTTCTTAGGAGAGATTTTAAATAAAGAATATAAATTAACAAAAATCTATAGTTAGCAAATAGGTGGAAAATACGAAGAATTATTCTCAGCTGAAACTGTTTTTTGAATTAAGTGTTGGGGGATGCATTTAAAAAAATAGCCCCAATTCGAATAAAGACATTCCAAATTTTGAGTTACCAATTTCTTTGAATGCATAGATTCTTCTGACAAGTCTTCATTGCTGTCATTGAATTTCAGCACTTGACAGTGACGTAATAAATCTTTGTCCCCAACCAGCAGCATTGAAAAGTTAATCAGCGTCACAAGCTAACCAGGCTCCATTGCCCAAGAAACGTGAAATGCAGAGAGAGAGAGAGAGAAAAAAATCAGCACGCTTTTAACAAAAGTGACGACAGTCAGTAAATAAATAATAAACATGATCCTTTTTGAACACACTTGACGCAAGTTCATTTGCATAATAACATTGTTGAGAGGCCCCAGCCGAGATGTCGACTGAAGGACTCAGGGACCACAGAGGCGGCCCATGTGGCATGTGGGAGGCTGCTGCTATCGCTTTTTGTCAAACTAAATGAATTAGCAAGTTTTTGAGGGACTGAGCGTGGCATATGCCAAAAGTTACAACATAAGTATTTACAAGCACGCGTCCTCCAACTGTTGTCAAGGAAATATATTCTGAGGGGCCTCCCCCCAATTTCGTCGCAGCCAGCTGTGTGATTACACCCACAAGGGTTTCGGGCTAAATTGGTAGGAAGCGACTGTCACAACAAGTGTGAAATTTGATGTTGATTTGTTATTACATTTGTTTACTGGCGGCAACTTTGTTATTTACAAAATATTCCCTAAATTATTCATCATTTTAGTACACAGTTTTATTTAGATTCCGATTGCGATTTGGACCTAACCAAGCCAAAAATAAAGCTGATGCAAACTAATGCAAACTATATTAAGAATACCGAAGAATAAGGAGAAATTTAGGAAGTATTACGAGTACAATGTGAGTGCTGTCAGATGAAAATATATATCTAGTTTATCATAACAGTTTTATTGCGCGAAAGGTTCGAATCGTGTCCATAACACTAAACATTAATACAAAACATAATTAAAATAAGTATAACAAATAAAAGATAAGCAATAAAAGCATAATTTATTAATCTAAGGTCACGACTAAACTAAAAATGTAGATGTTGAGAAATCTTTTTGGGGCGCCAATATCGCTTGTAATAAATCGTTCTTAATAAATTCCATTCCCACAATA